CAGACCCTTCACTATTTTAGTCATCCTCCTCTGGACACACTCCAGTTTTCAACATCCTTTCTGAATTGTGGTACCCAGAACTGGACACAGGATTATTCCAGGTGAGAGCTGACCAAAGCAGAATAGAGCCAGTTTCTCCACATCCTTTTTGAATTGTGGTGCACATTGTGATGGATGGGTCGTAGAGGAGCATCTCTTTGGCAGCAGCCAAGTACCCCAGAGCCATTGCTCCTTGGGATGTCCAGACTTTCCCTGCTGTCCTGGGTGGCCACAATCGCTGCCCGGTCCCTTGCCAGGCAGTGCCCTAAACTCACGTGCTGCCATTCAATGCCTTCTCGCTGGTACTCCTCTTGCTCCTGCTGCAGGATCAACTCAATGAACAGCTGCTGCAGTTTCTCATTGCAGTAGTTGATGCAGAACTGCTCAAAGCTGTAAAGGGAAGGCAGAGGGAAAACCCAGGATTCAGTCTGTATCCCACAGGGCAAAGGGGAATCCTATACTCAAGCTGTCTTCCTTCAGTGCAAGAACCACAGCTCAGGATTTCTTGCAGAAAGAAGGTTATAGGCTTATTTCGGTTTTAAAAGAGCAGGACTGGGGAATAAGCCATCTCTCCCTGATATTCTGGAAAGCAGATGCCGAGAAGAGTAGCCTATGGCTCAGCCCCATGTGGCCAGGGCGACCAGATGTCCTAACTGCAAAGGAGGACAAGGCACCACAAAATGTAGGACATTCAAGGAAAAGGTAGGACATTACACAATTAAAACTGAAAACACTCAAAGAATGGTTGAAATGTAGGACATGTCCTGGAAAAGGAGGACGTCTGATCGCCCTGCATGTGGTCCTCAACTGAGTCTGTGCACTATGGTCATTTGAGTATTGAACCAGGAGACCAGGTTATCTATGCTATGGAACCTTGGGATTTGTAGTTTTCAGAGGTAATTAGAATGATCCACTATAGAGACTGTCAGTGCTGTAGCTGAAGGAAGTACTATACTGAAGAATGCTTAGAATTTCAATAAACTACAAATCCCAGAATTTGATAGGGAGCTGTCATTGTAGTTGGAGTGTATAAAACTGATATACAGGTTAAGTATCCCTTATTTGAAATGCTTGGGACCAGAAGTGCTTTAGATTTTGGATTGTGGAATACCTGTATTTGCATATACGTACAGAATGAGATATCTTGGAGATGGGACCCACGTCTAAACACAAAATTCAATTATGTTTCATATACACCTTATACACATAGCCTGAAGATAACTTTATACAATATTGTAAATAATTTATGCATGAAACAAAGTTCATGTTTACTGAACCATAAGAAAGCAAAGGGGTCATCCATGTGGACAATTTTGGATTTTGGAATATTACAGATTTTGCAATTCCAGATAAGGAAGATCAACCTATAATTGAGTAGTGTGAATATATTCTGTGAATTCTTATTTTTGTTTGGGAGAGGGGAAAATTAACTGCCTTTACTACTGCACAGATCAAGGTTGGTTGGGACGCATAGTCCTCCCCAAAACAAGTCTTTGCAAATGAGGCACCCATCAGCAGAGGCTCTCTGGTCCACCCAAAAGCCTGTTTTTAGCTTTATGTATTATTTCTTTCATTTGTATGCCAATTTTTTCCCTTAGTGGGACTCAAGGTAGTTCCTACAGAGCAGGGGTCGGCAACCTACGGCCTGCGGGCTGGTTCCGGGCCAGGCCCCCCCGCTTACCGACCCCTGTCGACGCCTGCCGCCTGCCACCGCCGCTGCAAGTTTTGGCTGCCGCGTGGCTGCGCACTTTGCGGCCGCCCTTTTGTTTTCTAAAATGGCAGCCGTGATGTGTTTGCGTATGCGCAAATACGTATGGGCAACCATTTTGGAAAACAAAATGGGGGGCGCGACATGTGAGGCGGTGGCGGCGGCAACGCACGTGGCGAGGGTCATGCGCGGCGGGGGTTGCGCGTTAGCACGTGCGCCGCCATTCCCCCCCCCCAGCCTGCCGGAAGGGAGGACTTCAGCGGACCGGCCCCAGCTGAAAAAGCTTGCCTAGCCCTGCTACAGAGAGTCAGTTTAAAAACCTTCACAATAAAAACTGAAAACAATATAAAATCATGAAAAAGACATACAAAACTAAAAAGATAAATACAGTGGACCCTCAGTTCCTACTGGAGTTTCTCTCTCACCAAGTGATGGTAGACGGGACCAAGGACGTTATCACACGTGGCCCAGAAACCGAAAATAAAGTGGAAATGAGGCATCCCGAAAATAAACGGGAAATAAACCTTGTTTCCGCAAACGTCATTACCTTCATTGCGAATTTACAGCAACTGCATTGAACGTCCACACACAAGAGAAAAAAAACCCGTAAATGTAGCAGAAATGAGCCTCCTGCACATGCGCAGATAGAGTAATGCTCGCGGGAACCATGGGTAATGACGGGGAAATGCTTCCCAATACGTATTTGGCGATCACATTTGCGGTAAATGCGAAATGATCCTCATCGCGCAATTGCAATTCCTCAAGAAACCGAAATTCAAAAGATCTCAGTTCTTTCCACTTTCTGTCCACTTTCTGTCGGGGTTCTGTGTGACGTCGTGTGAAAACACGGCCAAATAATCCGGTTTCGGTTGGGATTTAGTTTGGATTTTTTCTGCATTGGGCCCCGTGTGATAACGTCCCAAGAGAAAGCCTTCCCCTGAAGAGCTTAGCACTCTGGTCGGTTCATAAGAGTTAAAATGGTCTTTCAGGGTTATCCCTGCCACTCGCTCTGGGCAAATGCTGCCCTACCTGTTCTTGTCAAAAATCTCAAAGCCATAGATATCCAAGACCCCAATCACAGTATTCTTGCCATGGATGCGAGCGTCGTAGTTCTTCACCTCGATGACGGTATTGATGCGGGCCACGATCCAGCAGAAAAGCCGCTCATAGATGGCCTGAAGGGAAAAGCAATGAAGACAGCTACCGTACATTGGCTTTTAGCTCGAGTTTTACAACTCAAAATTTATTTATTTATGTGTTTCATTTTTATGCCACCTTTTCCCCAGAAAGGGATCCGAGGCAGCTCACGAGATAAAAACATTTTAAAAGACTTTACAATAAAAATGTTTAAAACAATTAAGATCATCTAGAACAAACAGAAAATAGTTATGCCTGTCCTTGATTTTCATTGTAGCTATTCTAAATTATTTGTTTTTGTAATTTTAAAGTATGTTTTTATATTCTGTCTGTTTAATTGTATTTTAGGGGGGTGGGCTATTGGGGGAATGGGATTGTTTGTTTTATCTTATAAGCCGCCTCGGTTGTACTTTACAGAGAGGCGGGATATAAATAAATTTTATTAGTAGTAGTAGTAGTAATACAAAATTATCACAAAAACATACAAAAGTTAAAAACATAGCTAAAACACCACACCCCATATAAAAACCACTCTGTCATGTTTAAGGACGTTATCACACGGGGGCAAATCTGCTGGTTAATCCACAC